TTCTAAAGTGGTTTTATAATTGTGGGGATATTTAAGTGGTGTTTGTCTTTGCCACTTAAGTAGTAGTAGTAAAATATTTAAGTAGTATTTTTTGTTCTCGTCTCTACACATATTACTTAAACTGGTTAGGAATTAAGTGGTAAAGGGGTTTAGTTTTTATATCCTTGCAACTTAACTTGGGCAGGAAGTGTTTGGCGCATTCAACCTATGCCTCTTAGCCTAGTATGAATTAATTGACATTTTTAAGCCATATTTTCTGCCCTTTTCAAGTTTAGGATAAGAGAGCTTCTAATCCCGAATCTCTAGGATGATGTATGATTCGATGATTGACCTCTTGTGGGGATTATTTTGTCTTCTAATCTATATAGAATTCACTCACTATCGGTGATTGGAACAGTGTTAATCCAGATTGGAAGTGTGTTTGATCCAGTGTCCTAATCCACACTTGATTGGGAATTTAACTTCAATGGAGGTAATTTCTTGTTCCAATCCACCATGGTACCTAATAACCACGATTGTAAATACTGAAGAAGAATAAGATTAACGATTAGTAATATTTCCACCGAATCGAAAAAAAAAAAACAATATTTTCTGATTTTACTTTTTTGTTTTTATTGACAAACACAAAGCAAAAATTAATTACAATCTGGATTAAGTATTGATCGAGTTAATGGTTTTACGTGTGATTATTTTTTTTTAACCCTGGATTAGTGTCAGCGAATTAATTGGTATTTAATTTAACGTCTCAGATTAAGTTAGTTGGTGAAATGTTAAATGATTATGGTTAAAGTTATAATTTGACCTTGATCGATTATATTGTTGGTAATTATTAGTTATTACTGATTAATTACATTTTTCATTAATTATCACGCCCTTTAATTGATTATTTTTACCAATAATTATGACACTAGTTAATTACTTTTATCAACAAATATCACAGTAATTATTTTTTGTTCATAATTTACACATAGATTAATTACTGTTATTAATATTTTTCATTATTTAATTACCTTTTTAATTACCAAACAATTTAACAGGTAATATAAAAACTTACCTGGAGTGATTACCTTTTTAATGGACATGCTGGACCAATAGATTACATTTTTAAGGTAACTGTTTGTATTCCTCTTCACCTCCTGATTACTACTCTCACCGACTTTCTAATCCTAATTACATTTTTCTCATTAACAATTTGCACACACCCTGATCTCTCTCTCTCTCTCTCTCTCTCTCTTTCTCCTCCTGCGTCCGTCTGTTTTTTTTTGTTTTTCTGTCGATCTATGTCTGTTTTGTCTGTCTATCTGTCTGTGTTGGTTTCTCCCTGTCTGTCTGTCTGTCTGTCTGTCTCAGTCTGTCTGTTTTTCCCTTAAATACTTCATAAATTTTGATGAAACAGAATATGTAAATTTTCCTCATATCCGAATATTCCATTTTGGAGATTTCTAATTCCTCCCTTTATTGTATTCAGTGTGAGTCAGTGGGTGAGTGAGTCAGTTAATTGGCGAGTCAGTTAATTCATCAGTGAATCGGTTAGTCCATCAATGTGTCAGACCATCACAGTGAGTCAGTCAGTCAGATTTAGTGAGTCAATCAGTACATTAGTGAGTCAGATTTGTACTAGCATCATTAGCTCCACCAAGAGAATGACGTCAAGGGAATTATGTAATTAGTCAGGAGTAATAATTTTAAGTTGAACCAAATTTGATAATCCAGAGAGCGTTGAGACATTGATAATTTGTCCTGCGTTGAAATATATTAAAGTAGATTATTATAGTGTAAATGATGGTAAATTATTTGGCGTTGAGTGATAATTTATACGGTGTTGGGAACGATAATTCATATGGCGTTGAAAGTCATAAGTAATTCGGCGTTGGAAAATAATAATAATTTGTATGGCGTTGAAAGTAATAATTTTTAGCGTGAATTTTTATTTGACCGGGTAAATATCTCATTGAGTTTGAGCCTAGACTATATCCGACCGTATTTTACCGGGCAATTATCTTTCAATTGCCGTACATACTCGACAGGTAATAGAACGTCAGGTGCTCGTGGCTACCTGTAATTAGCAGTACTCGACAGGTAAAAAAAAGACCATTTGTGTGAATTAATTGGAATGAATGATTTGTCACTATCGCCACAAATACTACTACCACCATTCACTACCAGTACTACCACCATTCACTACCACTACTACTACTATTAACTCCCACTACTACCACCATTCACTACCACTACTATCACTATTCACTACCACTACTACCACTATTCACTACCACTACTATCACTATTCACTACCACTACTACCACTATTCACTACCACTACTACCACCATTCACTACCACTACTACCATCATTCGCTACTACCAATCCACCATCCACTACCACTACCATACACTACGACCACTATCACACACACACACACACACACAAGCCTCTTATGTTCACGTAGGTGATAGGATTGTGAAGGCTTTTCCTAAATGACTTTACCTGAAGACGATTT